TCTCCTGGTTTTTCCAATATCCCTTCAATTAAAAAAAAAAAACATTTCCAACTTTCACTTTCTCCTTTCACAAATTTTTCCATCGTACAATCGTCCGTTCCTAATTTTTCACACCTCCATCCAATCCAGCCAATCACCGTTCGTTCTTTAACTCCAGATATAGCATTAAACAATTTATGAAGCCATTTAAAAAATTGTTTTGAACGCGTTACAAGTGCCTTAATGAGAGAAAAAAGTTTCACACTGTTGTGAAAAAAATCCTTAATATTGACGAAATTTTCGGCGCGATTCTTACAATGAACCCTTAGTCATCCATAACACCATGTGACTTGTAAGTTACATATCCATACATCTTGTATTTTACAAGTCTCGCTTCGTTTGTTTATTGTTATACCATTATTACCAGAAAATTTATTTATAATAATTGCAAAAAATGTGAAATTGCGATCAACCGTAACTTTTCTTCTCGTGTATGGAGAACAATAGGGTTACAAAGGGTTACTTTAGCAATTAGTAATAAGTTTGTATTTAGAACTACAAAGACGGCCAGCAGACCTAACTGATAGTTAAAGAGGACTTGTCAATAGACGAGTTCTGAAAACAGCACCAAAGTCAGCAAATTAGCTCATAGAAAGGTATTCTGATTGCTAATAAACTAAAATAAAAACAAAAGAAGATCAAATAAAAAAAAAAGAATAACAAAGGACAAAATAAAAATTGCAAGATCGTTGTCTTGCTTCTCCTATCGAAATGTAAAACTTTAATCAGCTGTCATTTTTCTTCTCATAATCGGTTGGAAGAATCGAATTGGAAAGGATTAACCCTTGAACCTACAACAACGCGTCAGACTCGTGACAGAAATAGATATATTAAAAAATTAATTGTAATCCTAACTTTCCTTTTAATTTGTAAAATCAAGGATGCCTAAATGTAATTAACCTGTAACAGATTAGCTTCTGTTACTTGATACAGTACTAAAGCATTAAATGGCTGACGCTTATATGCATAGTCAGAAAAGAAATCATAGGTTAAGGGGTTAATTCGAAAAGTGTCGCGAGTCATAATGCCGAACAATTTTGATCTTGAAAAGACCCTGACGGTAACTATGTGTTTAGATCATCTCCAGTGCATGGCCCGCTGCTTCCTTTTGTTCCCCCTGGCAGCGTGGAATGCAAATGGCGACCGCGTTCAACGACCCATAGGATCTCCTTGGTTTACGAGCTGGTCATTATTGAAATATGCAATCGAGCCGACGCGTTATCCTTCATCGGGGTTTCGTCGCCCTCGGGGACGAGGAGCGCGGTTAACGAGCCATTTGTATCGTCAATCCTGCATATTCCACGCTCGCCAGACAAGGATACGAACATATGTTCTGAAAATTCCGACAGACTCTGTACGTCCATTAAATTTCCGTTTGCTAATTGAGGAATTCTGCAATCCCCGTAAATTACACTCTCCAAGGTAAAATCAAAGAGAAAATTCGTTTTCGGGGGAGGGAGGAAAAAAGGTTGCCTTTCAATAAGTTCAGCGTACTCGATTTCTATGGAAACCTATTTCCCTGCAAACAAATTAATTTGCCCCTTTCCGCTGAAAGGAAATTCCACACCGAAGCGTTCTGATAATTCTCACCAATAGGAACTCCTAAAATGAATTTTTCGACGCGATGTTTCCCAAACATGGCAAGGAAACAAATCCACCGTTGTAACACACAGAGAGGATAGACAGCGAATTTGTAGAGATATACTTTCGAAAATTCTGATATGATTTCACACAGAGACAAGGTAATACGTAAAGCACGTTTCGCAATTTGTGAGCGAAATAAATCCACCTCTGTCCGCTGGACGAGAAATTTGTTTGATGCACGAACACTTCCGTCCGCCTCGGGTAATTTTAGCTGCGAGTGGTCTACTGTTGTCAATTCCCGTTCATTTCTGAATAGACTAAATCCACAAAGCACAGACTGACCAATTGTCATTAAAACCCTCTGTTCAAGGTGGAGTGCGAATACACGTAATTACCGTCGGATGGTAAAATCAGTGCAAAAAAAAAAAACTGGAAAAACAATTGTCGCATCGTCAATGTACGAACGCGCTTAGGATATAATTAGAAGAGAGATAATTTCGACCGATTGTTCGACAGGTGTAACGATCAATTTTTAATAGTACACACAGTTGTGGTTGGTAAAAAAACACGCCACATAAACCGGTATATTTTAACTGGATTGTGAGGGCCACAGCAAACCACGTGAAACATCAAGCGCTAGGCAAACAACGATAAAGAGATTTAATCGAATAACGTGGCTGATGTTAATCTTTAGCGTATCAGAGTTTATAATAACACCAGCCCGGTAATTAAGTTTGATCTCCTTTGTATCCATACTGGAAGCATTTATTTTCCAGAACTGCAGTTAGTGGTTTCTACATTGTTTAATGCTCGTTCAAGCACTTCCTGCAACATTTTCCTCAAGAAACTCCGCTCCTCTGTTTCAACTATTTTCTGTCTGGATGATTTATTGCTTGAATTCTCGCAATTTTTACACTATTTCTCCGCTCTCCCTGTGATAATTTTTCTCCTACTTTTCTATTTTCCTATTCCCCGATCTTTCTCTCTGCGATATTACAGTTGGCGATTTTCCAGCGATTTTCTCTGAATTTCCATTTTGTTTCCTTCCAACTGCAATTTTTTCTCGGTGCATGACACACAACCCGTACGCTCTTTCCATCCGCTATTGCTGTTGCTTTTGTGTATCCGTATCTTCAACTTTCTCGTCCTACCCCTTTCTATATTTCCTTCTTTCAAGCTTTCGCCGTATGGTCTGTCCATGTCATTCCCATTCTACTTCCAATATTAACCATTAATATCCGGGGGGGAAAAGACGGAGTCGAGGAAAGGATTTGAAAGGGATTCGAAACCGAGACCTAGCAAACTGTAAGCAGAGATTAAGCCTTCTGACAACGAGTCAGACTCGTGTCGGATTATGGTCAAGGTGTGACAAAAGCAATTCTATCAGCGAGGAAGATTGATTTCAATTGCAGCTACAGTTTTCACTTGTAAGTCTGAAAATTGCCAGATGTGAATAGTGTGCGATATTTTAGCTTTTGTTGAAACAGTAAACAGCTGATGCTTGTATGCTTAGCTATTAAAAAAATCACTACGCTATCGTATGTACATTTCTGATTATTTATTTCTTTTTAACGAATGTTATTCTCGTGTTCCTACCAGAAGTACGTAAAATGAATTGAAATAAATCAAATAATTCCCAAGAAAACCTCGCTAAAAGGTCATCCCATGAGTTCGTGGCGAAAGCGAGAAGTATTTTAACGAAAATCCAAACAAATTCTGTAACGGTTTTATCAAAAATAGGAAAAAGTTGTGAAACGAGAAGGCGCATACTCTGTTTTTTATTTTTTTTTTTAATCAGATTTAATGATTTTGGAGTTGTCAATTCGACACGAACTTACAGGATGACATAATATTCTAAATAAACACTCGTCGCAACAGATAAACTGTTTCATTTACCACGGTTACGCGCACGATTTAAAATAAAACAGACGATTCACTATTTGAAACAATATTTCACGATTCCCAGCTGAGACATCTGACTACTTAACAAACCCTTAAACCGATATCCCTCAGAAATACCTGCTTTTCGTCGTCCACGTCATAAATTCCTCCTATAAACGGTCCAATCACTACGTATACACACAAATAAATAACCAATATTCACCACGGATATCAATCTTTCAATCTCCATTTCCATTCAAAACCGTTCTTCCTCTGAAAGAAGAAAGAAAAAAAAAAAAAAAGAAAGAAAAAGACCAACTCGAAATGTTTTATTTATCCTGGTTCCAATTGTCCCCTCACAATTCACTTCTCACATAAAGAAAACAGGAAAACTGCAATGAAAGGTTCGCGATGAAATAAAATACACAAAATTCGCAGAGAGTGAATCGAGCGAATCCGCAGCAATGTCGGCGACTGTGGCCTATTGAAATTACAGCACTGATATTCCGTTGATAATACCCAACGCGACGGTTAGCCGGCCGTCCGATAACAAATTAATTATAGTTCCCGAGGACTATATAAGCATGTAACACGAATGTAATAACCAAGGAGACAATGTCACTGTGTGATGGCATTGAGGAGGAAGGGAGGGGGTAGAGAGAGGGCAAAGGGAGGTGCTTCTGACCAAGAAAGGATGGATTGAGGAAGGACTAGGGAGGACAGACAATCGCGTAATTGCAGCACATTGATCCGTCGAGAAGATGACCCCGAGTGTATAGGTGACCGTTCACGATCTGGCAAACCTCGCTCGAGACGCGATTGATTGCTTGCGATCAGATTATGGCAATTAATGGCTCAAGTGGTATGGATCAGGCCCGCTTGTAAATTAGTTCCGGTTCCGGCCAGAAACGCCCGGAATTCAACTTATCACCGCAAGATATTCGGACACGCCGTTCGGAATAGCGTATCCGATGCATAACCTGACGTGCGAATTTCCTCTACTGGCCTCCACAGTTTACCCCTGTTCTCGTACGGAAACTCGTTGTCAGTCGATTCTCGACGAAAACTCGACCGAGTTTTGTTCGAGTGTTTTGGGTCTTGGGGTAAGGTTAGCCTAAGGATCGAACGTAAGTAGAATTTTGTCGCTGGTTGCGAACGAGAGTTTAGAGTAACTGGTGAGAACACAGTTGGTTAATTACGGTTTATAAAAATGTGATTGAAATATTGTCGAATTTTTCTCGTCGAATTTCTGAATTTATCTGCGAACGTACAAGTTCGAGTTCAGGCTTGAGAAGTACTACTCCGTTTTCCTAGAGACATGGAGAGCGGAGGGTAATTTCTGTTGGTGAAATCGAGGCCTCGCGAGAGGGAACAGCAGCGCGATGTCAGGAGCCGGTGCTCTTGTGCCACATATCTCACCGCCGTTCTACACCGGATTCTATAGTTTCTAACGCTATTCATGCGGTAGGATAATGGGTTAAGTGGGGTCTACTCACAACATCGATGAGCTGGGAGAGGCGTAGTCCCATTTTGACAGTGAGCCGATCGCTGTTGTTGCCAACAGGGCGGATGAGGCGGTTGTAGTTCGACAGCAGGTCATCGTAGAGACGCTTCGCTTCCGGATTGGCCGAGGCACCCGGAAACGGGGCAACAAGACAGGAAATGGCCGTCGCCATCGCCAGCAATCCGCCCAACCTAGACCACCATCGCCACCAGCCTTTCCCACCGTCGTTCGACCAAGCATCCCTAAGCATCGTACGCCTTGTCCACCCCTGAAATCACACAATTCATCCGTAAGCTTCGCTCACACGTCCTCTGTCGTCGATAAATTAGTATCCTGGAAATATTCGAAAATAAACACAATTCCTAGAATAGAGGACATTCCGACAAAATGTTCAACTTTATACAAAATTTTCTTTCCGTGGAAAAGAGAAGAAAACAGCTTCGAGATTTTCTTCATCAACAATCACTTTCAGTTCCACCTATCAAACTGTGACGCCGAGGCGTTTCATCTTTCCGAGACACCTAGTACGTGCGCAGAAGACACGTGCTTGTCGGCATCTCATAATGCTTTGACGTCAACTTTTCAAGCGAATCATGGTACATAGTAAAGTGTAAGTTGGTTGCCAGACGAAGTCATTTACTAGCCGTGGAGAAGAGCGTAACCGGCCATAAAGGAGGGCTTGAACGGCATTGTTGTGTCGCTGAAAGGAGAAGGAGTGAGGGAAAAAGGAGGAGGAGGTACGAAAGGGAGAGAACCTCTTGAGGAACTTTTATCGCTTCGTTGCTGACCTACCTGCGGGCATTATCAGTGTACCTATATGCCTGAAAAAGCTACTTTTCCCGCATTACCCAGGGATTTACACTCCGCCGCGTTTCTTCCTTAATTCTGAATATAAATGAGCCTAATTCCCGTGCGAGCATACCGGGTATCGATCGACAGTTTCCGTTAATCGTCGTCAAAGTGCCGACAGATTATCCCCTTTTCGAAGAAGTACGTTTAAAATTGCTTCAAAATATTAATTCTTCTTCCTTCTTTTTCTTTTTTTTTTTTTTAGTACGAATAATATCCAATATAGATAGCACATAACATGCATATATGTACGTATTGGTTTTGGTTCTGACGGTTCCACGTCACGACTCAGTTAATCGACGAATTACATAAAAAGGTATATTCATTATTGGCATGCAAATGAAATTTATACATTCAGTCCGCCGATCGGGAAATAAATATTCCTCGGACACAAGGCCTGGGTTTCATTGATGCCATAAAATTACAATCGGTACGCCCCGTTGAAATTGCACATCCGCAAGAACCACTCTCGCTCGTATTTACAAGTTTATGGGCCGCGGTGTCGATCGGTTAAACAGCGAGCCAGTAGAGTCATTGTGCCTCTGCTAATGTGCGAAATTATGCGTTTCGCGATACGCTTTATTCGATGTTTTCCTACTGATATCGCCACTTGTTAAATGACACTTTTGAATTATATGCGAAGTTAATAATTTATATAGGAAAGTGTATCTTTCATGCTTCAACCCTTTTCAACACTATGGACGTTCTGTGACGGACAATTGTGATCTGTGACGATCGATGAAGACAACATTTTATGTATACAAAGGCCACTTTCTTTATATATTTTTTTCTGTTCCATAAATTTAGGTAACATGAATGTGATTCATATATGTAACTTATCCCTCCTGAACAATTTTCGAAGTATGTGTTCTACAAAAAAGTGTTTCATCGCATAAATTGCGCGGTTTTTTTAAATAACCTATTTGTCCACGAAATATCAAGGTAGTCGTGAATTTTTTTAAATAGAACGCGTACTATTTTGCATCGAAATTTAAAAGAGTAGTGAATTTTTTATAAGCTCCCTTGGATACCTATACAAAACTCTCTTTCATTTTTATTTATTTTAGAAATTATTCAGGGTGCAGAAATTACGCGAATCACACCCTGCATACATATTCATCCGAGGTAGCCGAAAAGTTAATATTACTTCGGTATTCGTTCTACCTCCGTCTCGTACGGCTGGAAAGACAGTTTTTCCAGAAATTGATTTGAACTTCTGTTTACCAAATACGAAATCACGGTGTGTGCTCACGTGGCGTTTACGCGTTTGTGGCAAATTTACAAAATCGAACATCGCGTTTAATCATTCCGGGCATCGAGAATCACGCAAGCCGCGTCCACCTTAACGTGCTTGGGTACGGCCAAATACGCGTGCTGACATTACGTATCAACGTTTCTGTCTGTTTGGCTAATGCGTCGAAATGCGCCGACTTATTGATTTTCCCACAGTCATTTGCATTTCGCGTGTCCGCGAAGCGACAGTAATTACGACATAGTACGTGCCACGCCGGATGGAAAAGTGAAACGAGAGCACCGGAACGCATATGGATGTTCCCCAGCTATCATTATCGGTATCGGTCTCTAAAAATAATTTTACGCAGAAACATTCGAATACTTCTACGTCCTTCGATTAAACTATTAATTGTACCAGTCCACGATTCAATATTCTCCAGCATAACCTAACCCAGTTCTATTGTACTATTGTTATTATATTAATCCTTTAACAGCTGTCCACTCGAAAGTAACTTTACCGTGTCGGGGCTAAGTTGTACCATTAATAGTCACTGTGTACGAAACATGTTCGCGAATTAAGTTATCGGTATACAGGGTGGCCCATTTTAATCTTCAAATGCTAATATTTCGGAAACTACGTTAAATGGAAAACCTGCTTTTGGGAGATTAACCCTCTACCGTCGAGGCGGAGTCTTTTTATCTTCTTTGTTTTCTTCCATTCTATTTAGAACTCAACGTTATTATATTAAAATGAAATGAATACAACCAATCATTGTGTTCTATAATGTTTATTAGGAAAATGTGTGATAAAGGTAAATCAGTGAAGAAAAGTTGTGAGAAATGTAGGAATCGACGGAAAAATTTTGATGGACCCAACCGGGAATCGAACACGGGACCTTCGGCTTAGCAAGCCGAGGCTTTGCGCACTACGCCAACCACTCCCTCGCTATTCTCCCTTCGAGGTTTCCTATTTGGGTATGGAGACCCCGATACTACAGAAATGTTCTATATTTAGGTATAAACTAACTGAAAATTCAGGAGTTTCGTAGACTCCATATCGGGCTTCAGTCCCAAAAATGGTATCTCGACAGTAGAGGGTTAAATACGTTAAAGGAGGACACTATTGCGTGCAGGTGTAAATAAGTTCGTTAAGGTCACTTCAAGATCAATTGGATTTTTTAGAATGACAGTATATTTTTTTTATTACAAAGTAATAGAGCGTAAGGATTCAACGACCTCGTATGTTACACGATTTCATGGAAAAATATAACGGCGTGAATAAACATTGGATGAAGTACATAACATAAGTATCTCGCATTGATCGTGCGATGTTAAAAGTGTCGCTTTAGAAATGCATATGGCCGTGCAAAATGACATCCAGAGATGGATTCAAACGTGTATCGATGTTCAGGGCGATGTATTCGAGAGATTCGCAGAGACACTAGTTCATCGAATAGCTGTTTTTCGACATTTAACGATCAGTGCGAGGTGCCAATGTTACTTTATCAAATAGAATCTTCATTTGCGTTTCGTCGTTGTATTTTCCAAGAATAAAATCATGCAACACATGAGGTCGTTGAATTCGTCTCCTTACTCTCTGCCATTTTGTAGAAAAAATATATACTGTCATTCGAAAAAATCGAAATGACCTGAACGCTTCGAACTAGTGGCCCTCTTCGTCTCATTTAATCCACCGAAAGCAAATTTTTCAATTGAACTTAATTGCCGAAATATTAGCATTTATAAATTAAAACGTTAACCAAATCGACTGTTTTTCTGAACATTTTGTACTTTATTTGTACCTAAAGTGAATAATACATAAATATAAATATAAAAGCACCGGTATCCTAGTATCCATCGATCGATTGCTACTGATAACAGTGAAAGGGTTGATAATAGACTACCGGTTGACAAAGTATTAAATACAACGATTCGGTAGAAAAGGTGAATACAACCGGAGAAAATGTTTTATCGATACTGACTGGACTTTATCAGTCTACCAGTTGATGGACTATTCCTCAGGATTAGAAAATGAAAAATGGAGTCGGGCCAAGATGGACCAAATCGACCGGAGACCTCGTGGGACCCTTTATCTGGCCAGCGTCAGGTCGACCAGGCGCAGATAAGGTGACCCTGGGGTCATTATCAAGCCCCCGCCGTCTCCACCCTCAGGCCACCGAGTTAATTACACCGGAATTCCGGACAACCCTGGCTTTTCCTCGAATCCCTTTCGTTGCACTTTGCTTTGCCCTTTTTCCCTGTATCGAGCCCTTGCTAACCGTACTTTTCGAGTTTTATCGCCCTCCCTCGTCAATCTCTTGGGACACTGGGGATGGCTGATACCAAATTTAGTAAGGGATCGTTGTCATTGCTCGATCCTCCAGCGACGCATTCCGGCTGATTTATACTTGATTAGTTGTCCAAACGGTAAACTACCGCGCGAAAATTCATTTAAAATGTAACCGGTATTTACTCCAAGGTACTTACACCTTCTATAAATGATTCAGTATTACAGGAAGCAAATGAATTTTCCAAATGTAGCTGGTAGACTCGCTTATGGTGTATGATCGTAATAATGCTGGAGCGATATACGGGGAGTAGTAAAGCTACCAGTTTGTGCTACCAAGCTTGTGGCCTGAGAAAATGGATATAATGGAACCAATAATGAGGCGTTGCTAACGCATCCATCAATCTGGATCAGTCAGCTTTTGATCATCCCTTGGATCATGTTGTGCACGCAAAATGATTAGGGCAATTTGCTTAGATCTGCATACGTTTCAGAGCGAAAAATATTCGTTCGAAAGTTTATCGTGCAATCTGAAATATTACCATCTTTCACTTCATTCTCAAGATCCTTCTTTTAATCGAACCTTGCAGTTTTCGATCAACCTAATTGTATACAGGGTGATTCTAGCAACTAGGCCAGGCTATAGCTCTCTGTTCCAAGTGAAGTCAGAAGAAAATCGTTGAAGAAAACATTGCAGGAAATATAGAAATGGCTAACAGTTTACAGTGAATCTTTAAATGTAATTTTCTCGAAAAGTAAGCCTCTTGTGAACAAACTTTAACCTACATTTTCTCGACTTATCTTTGCATATAAAATCATCTTCTTCCCGGTTGAACCACCGAAACACCCTGTACATGGGAAGCATTTTATTCGTCAGATAA